GTGCTGTGGTGTTTGTAAGAGTAAAATACTGTGTTATCCATTGTTTACAACTGTTATCGCTAACAACAGCTGACAATTGTAAACAACAGCTAACAAGGGCTAACTGTAGACGTCCATCTTGGTTTTCCAACTTGTTAACCAGGACGCCGTCATCTCAAGTGTAACATCAATCCCTACTCCGACTTCCGAGGAAACTGGAATGTAGCAGTAATACTCATTCTTGTTCATGGATCTTTGTGTGTGCATGTGTGTGTTTTTATACTTTTTTGTGCGTGTTCATATTGGACCAAAAGCAGAGGACTGACTGTTCTGCACTCTTAGTCTGAGTTATCATCTCTCTGTTCACTCTTTCTCTCTTTTCTGTAGAGTTTTCTGGATCTTTCAGACTTTGATTGTGTTACAAACTCTCAGACTGTCAGACAGTCAGTCAGAGAAAACTGAGGGTTCAGGGTTTCAGAGCCGAGTCTGTTATTGTTAACAATGAGGAGGAGAGTTAGCTGGAGGGTGAGGAGGTTTTGGGGGGGTGAGGAAACAGTTTCTGGTCACTGTCCAACAAACACACAGTCACACAGATTTCAGATCAGTTTTACGGTGAGAGTGAGAGAGAGACAGAGGTAGAGAGAGCATCCTAATGAGCAGCAGAGCTGGCTGATTCCCTCAAATGAACTTGGAGCTGAAACAACAGCAGCTCTGTCCATGCAGCAGCTCATCCTTTAGGACTCCTGGAGGTAAAGTGAGGCCGGACCCTTCAGCAGAGCTGCTGTTTGTTTCAATGTCACCTCAGGTTAGACCATCTGAACATGATGGGAAAAATAAGAGCAGGAATCCAGCTTTATACTGTCAGGATCTGCTGATCTGATGGAGGTTTTTCCAGAGAACAGACTGATTGTGATTAACAGGAAATACTCCACACCGTCACATGCAGCTCTCCTGACGTCACAGCATTTCTGCAACTGACCACAAACCTGCTCCTTTAATCTGGAGTTAGTTATCATTGTGACACACTCACAGAGGGAAATTCAGCAAAAGGAAAGGTGATGAACCACAGTGTTAAACATTCCCCTGTCTCAGATTTTTGGAAAGTGTTGCAAGCATCAAATTCAAAATGAATGAACATTTGCAAAAAGATCTACAAAGGTTACCAGTTTGAACATGAAATATCTTGCCTTTGTAGTGTAGGAGAGACCAGGGCTTGTTGTCACACTTTATTACACTCATATATAAACAAAATGTGTACCAGATGAAAGACCAAAGTCTCAGGTATATATTTCATATTCATGTCATTTTCATATCTTGTCTCAGTGCAGTTATGAGAATCAAATAGAGAGTGTAAACATGTGACATGTTGCCCCACCATCAGGTAAGTTGTCTCACTTCATAGATACATACATTTTGCGGCTAATAAAACAAGGACAAAATTATTATTGTTCTCATTTTTTTTACATGAAAGTGAACATCAAAGTCAGACACAGAAATTGTTAATCATTGAGAAAGGAAAAGTCACTGAACAAACATTAACATAAAATATTATGCAACTATTTTTCTTTTGTAAATCCTGACCATGTCTTCTCGCTTTCTCCTCTCCTTTAAACCACTCTTTTTTTCTGTAAAAATAAAGTCAACATTTCAGTGTGACAACTGCTGATAACCAGACTCTTTGTTAATTTTAATCCTTTTTAAACATGTGACAACTAACCCCAAAATGACTGAGACATGTTGCCCCAAACTACCACGTTTACTAATTAGAGATCTTGTTTAAAGTTAGCTTAAAACAGACCAATGACTGAGGTATGAAAGGATGTCTTAATATCTCCTCTAACAAGTTCACATGTGAGGATTTTTATCTAGAAGAAGCTTATTTTTAAAAATCTAAAGTTAACATTAAATTTTACTTTGGGTTGTGCAAAATGGTCAATTGACGCTCACCTCAGCTCACAATGTTCTGTTCTCTTCTCAGACAGGACACGACTCCTGACCATGTAAAGGAATAAAACAAGTATTCCACTTTTTAGTTGCGCCCTCTGGTGGCAAAGATAATTGCAATGTGACTTACCCATGTGACAACAAGCCCCGTTCTCCCCTATTCAATTGATAGGGGTAAAGAGATTTTCAAATCATTGTACTCTGTTTTTATTTACATTTCACACAAAGTCCCAGTTTTGTTGAATTGGGATTTAAATTGTAGATACAGACAAACTGTTCACAATCATCTTAATGATAAAAATATCTCTTCGCTGTTTAATTTTTTTTTTAGCCTGAGCCAACATTTTAAATCATTCAAGTCAGAAGTGGGTTTCTCCCTCAGCTTGTTTGGCCCTCAGATCCAGATTTTTAGTATTCAGTCTTTACTAATGCCAGTTCTCAGTTCAGTACTTGTTCAGTACTTTTTTCTTTTGTTTTCTTAAAAATTTCAAAAACAGAGGTGTGTAAGCGCTCCAAGTATAAAGGCTAGAATCCTCATTATGGTGGTGGTTTCTGGTTCAAATCCCAGCCATGACTCTTTACTGTACAGCTTCCCCCTCTCTCCCACGTGTCCTATCTCTACACAGCTGTCCCACCTAATTACAGCAAAAATACCACAAACGTGACTTTAAAAAATCATTAAAAGAAAGAAAATGACTCAAAGATGTCAGTCCTGTTTGCATTACTGTAAACCCTCATGTGGTCTCTCTCTCTCTCTCTCTTTCTCTCTCTCTCTCTGTCAGTAATTGAATCACCTGTACCTGCTTAATGTAATTTCCTCTGGATGTATGATGTGGACCAGTGTGTTTCATCTGTCCTCTCCCCACACTGAGTTTTAACCCCACACAGAGTTTGTTGTTTCTCCATCAAGGCCACAACCTTATATAACCTCCATCAGTCCGTCCTTCCTCCACATTGCCTCTGTGATACATCCCCTCCTGCGCTGCAGAAACCTGCAGATAATCCTCACTCAGCTGTTTTTATCATGTTAAGGAAACGTGGGCTCACATTTTCACCCCCTCAGAGAAAATTTGTTGAAAAGCTTTTTCTTTATGTAAAAGAGAAGTTGATCGTTTTCAGGTTATCAGCACTAATGTCTTAACCAGATCAGGTCTTTGCTGCCAATCACTAAATTAATATCATCTCTACGGTGACCAATAAAAACACAGCTCTCATGTGAGTGTATCAGTAATAAAGCTAAAGGAAAGCTTTTAGTGTCAGAAATACAATAACATCTCTCATTATCTTTCTGATAAAATTCCAGAGTGTTTGTCATCCACCGTGAGGCAGTGATGGAGTCCTGCTCTGTTCTGAAACTACCAGGAAATCTCAGAGAGACTTTTTGAACTTCTGCAGCAGCAGCAGCAGCAGCAGCAGCAGCGTGGTCGTCTCTGAAGTCTGAAACCAGCTCGCTCTGACCGTTTTATGGCTTCAGTTTAAGATCCAAGCTGTAAGGAACATCTGTTAGAGCAGTTACAGCTCCAGGACGCCATCCTCTACCTGAACAGAGTCAGGAGTCAGGAGGGTTTAAAGACAGAGAGGGTCTAAAGACAGAGTCTGAGGACAGGGGGTTTTAAAGACAGAGAGTTTAAAGACAGAGAGGGTCTAAAGAGAGAGAGGGTTTGAGGATAGGGGGTATAAAAGACAGAGAGGTTAGAGACAGAGAGAGTTTAAAGACACAGTGTTTGAGGACAGAGGGTTTTAGGACAGAGGGGTTTGAGTACAGGGGTTCAGAGCAGGATTTGGCTCCTTATCCGATGGACCCTGAGGATGTTTCTTGGCTCTGTGCTGCTGGTCTAAACCCTAAACTCGCTTGGTTTGTGTGAAGTGACTCAGTGTGGTGAAGGAGCTCTGCGATGATTCACGAGGATGAGTGCTCAGCTCTATCAGCTGTGGTTTATTGTCAGAGATAAGGACGGTTGTGGTTTGGGATGAGCTGTGGTTGGCTTGTTTTGTTTGTACGATCATTCGTCACCCTCGTCTCTGTTTACTTTTCTGTCCATGTGACCTTTGACCTCAGGTCAAAGTTAAGGGATCAAAGACACGTCTCTGTCTTTTAACCTCAGTTTGACCGTTGACTCTGCAGGAACATGCAGACATGGTTGTTTGTGGTCATGTTAGAGGAGTAAAGGAGGAGGGGTCTGGGTTATATTCAAGAAATCACCTTTAACCTAAACTCTACAAGACATTAGACGCTATGTAACATGTCAATTAAAACAGAGTTTGATGATTTGCTAATCATTAAAAATCTATTTTGAATTGAATACATTGCAAAGATCACATGACAAATGTTGAAAAGTGAAATTTTGCTACTACACAAGATGTGCAAACTTCCTTTCTATCTACATGTTTGCTGTGATATATCAGTTTCCCTCTTGCTGTTACTCTCTCTGTTTAGTGTTTTCAGCTGATCAGCCTCGATGAAGTGGAGAAAGAGACTGTACCTCTGAAAACAAACTTCTGTCTCAGAGAAAAACAAAACCAAAAAAATAAAAGACTGTTTCTGCTGCTAGGACTACATGTACACACACAGACACACACATATTTCCCCGCAACACACACACTCTGGCTATGTGTGTGTGTGTGTGTGTGTGTGTGTGTGTGTGTGTGTGTGTGTGTGTGTGTGTGTGTGTGTGTGTGTGTGTGTGTGTGTGTGTGTGTGTGTGTGTGTGTGTGTGTGTGTGTGTGTGTCCATGTAGGGCTGAAGTATGTGAAGTGCGTTTTAGAGGTGAGCGATCATTGATCAGAAACACATGCTGAGCTGCTGGTCTGAACACTCTCCTCATTTCTCCTCTGACGCTCTCACCTCTTTATCTGCAGAAACTGCACTTTCTCTCTCCTCCTCTATCAGCCCCCCTCTCCCTTTACCCCCCCGCCCTCTCTCTCTGTCTCTCACTCTGGGACTACAGGGTCTGCATGGTGGGTTTGGTGTACCTCTGTTCCTGCTGCTGTCCTGCACTCAGCTTACAAAGAGCTTCAATAACTCTGACCTGCCATCAGTGACCCAAACTAGAGCACAACTGCAACACTCCTCCTACCTTCCTCCTCCATCTCTCTCTCTCCCTCGACCCAACCCCCTGTTTCCTCCCTGTCTTCACATCTCATCCTGTAAATCTCAAACACCTCATCACTCCGAGCTGGTTCATGGTAAAATTTGTGCAGGGGAACCCTAGCCTCAGGACAGACCGGCTCTGCATGATTCAAATACAGACACAACTCTTTCAGAGAGCCAATCAGATCCTTGTCCGCACTCCCTGCAGGTATCACTGCACCAGCATCTGATAAACAGAGGTCAAAGGTCATAGAGGCAGGATGGAGGAGAGAGGAGGTGATGAAAGAAGAGTGAGAGGAGGTGAGAGAGGGGCTGTTTTTCAACTCCTCCAGCTGAGATGAGGGGAGAGGAGCTCAGTAGAAGAATCTCAAGCACACCAACACACACACACACACACACACATACACACACCCTCTCTGTCTCCTGATCACGTATCACACATTCCTGGCTGAATACAGAGGGGCAGGGCTTAAATGGAGGGGTATGGAGAGATGAGTGGGTAAAGTATGAGGTCTGCTGAACACACACTCACATATTCTAGATGACGACAACACACACGCACACGCAAACAGGTGATATGTTCAATCTGCAGGTCTGTACACCATGTGCTAATATAAAAATATAAACCCATATTTAGAGCAGTGTGTGTGTGTGTGTGTGTGTGTGAGAGAGAGAGAGAGAAAGAGAGAGAGAGAGAGAGAGAGAGAAATTTGGCAGAGGTCCCTCTGTCTCCCTCTTTGGGTAATGGAGTGGAGGTAACAGGTTGTATCCTCCTGTAAGCTTATTGGTACCAAATAAACACACACACACACACACACACACACACACACACACAGTAAAACACAGTTGTAAAGTTTTTTTCAAAGTCGTCTGTTGACATCACATCTGTAGGTCATGACATGTCATCAGGATTATTTGGGGTCGAAGGTCATATTGTAGGGTAGTCAGTATACTGTTACTGCCTTTCCACAGGAAGACAGTCAGGACATGCAGGTGTTGTTAAAAAATAGATTTATATCCCCAGTCTGACTGAGACTGCACCTTTGGAGAAATATAAACACATAAATCCTAGTTAAACTTTTCACAGTCTGACTTACTTACCTGGATGATGTGGTTAAGGGTTGATTTTCTCTCCTCTTTAACTGAAAGTGGCCAAATTGATCTCAGTGTGCTCCAAAGTTCACACACTGAGCTTTCAGCCTGAGCTTAAATCACATTAATGCTTTGCTACAAAGCCAGATAGTCAATAAACCTTGACAGATATAGAAAGGACAGAGAAAGAGATGAAACTTTCATATTGTACCAACAAAGAGTCAAAAGCTGTAAAAGTGACAGTCTTTTAACATTTACCGTACATACTGTTAGCTTCTAGCTAAAATGTTTGACACAGAATATGTCGACAGGGAGACAACCTGATAGCAATGAGCTGAAAGGGAGCAACTGTAGTGAAGGAGGCCTGGACCAGCTCAGTCATGCTGCTACTGGTTGAGAGTGTTGGAGTACTGGCACATTGAGCACCTCTCCATTCTTCATCCTCTTTCTATCTGTATCATTAACTACAGTCACTAAGACACAGTCCTTTCTGGGAGTCCCTAATCTCCATCAGGCCTTAGGTTCCTCTGGATCACTGCTGCAGATGTTTTGCTGCCACTGGCCTGCCTGCCTGTCAGCTGCTTCAACAACATTCATCACTCTCACCTCAGTCCTTTTCTCTCTTTCTGAATCTCCCTCTATCCCCTCTCTAAAGCCAATGCAAAAGCAGCAGGTAACTGTCTCACATGAGACTGGCTCTGCTCAAGGTTTCTGCCTGTTAAAGGAAATTTCCTGTCTCTGCTGTCTTCCCATCAGGTTTTTGTAAATGGAGTATGGTGTACTCGACTTTTCTATTTGAACCTTTTCTATGTAATAACACTTGTTGGGAATTGGCGCTGTTTACACATTGATTGATTGATTGATTGATTGATTGATTGATTGATTGATTGATTGATTGATTGATTGATTGATTGATTGATTGATTGATTGATTGATTGATTGATTGATTGATTGATTGATTGATTGATTGATTGAGCTGAAGACTTCTGATCATGGTAGAAACTCTAAAACAAAAACCAGGATCAGGTTTTCCCCTCAGTCACAGATTTTATGCGGTTCTGCCCACTTATCTCTGACTCTAATATGAAACTAAATCTGAAACACATTTCTATTTCTGGACCTGCTCACAGCATCCAAACACTCTCAGTTGACATCAGAGACTCAGAGCCGGCTGATGGCCAGGATGCTCTCTTCCTGTCCCAAACTTCCTGTTTCCTGTGTTCTAGGAAATTAAACACATGTGTGTTTATCCGGCAGAGGATATTTAATGTGGTTTAAATATAAAAATCATGATTTTAATCTTCTCTGCGGGCTAAAACAGACTTCAGCATTCAGCGCTGAGCTGACAGTAAGTAGATCCACAGCTGACTCACTGATCAGGAAGAGGTGTTTGATTTTAGCAATAAAATCCTGCAGAATGACTCACAACAACATCTCCTTTGTTGCAGCCACTTTTATTTGGAAAAGTCACCCCTGAACACCTTCCCAACCTCTGAATCAAAGCCTGCGGGAGTCCTCACTCTGAGGTGGTAAATACCTGAAGCAGGTGAACACAGTGTACAGAAATTAAAGCAGTATGTAGGTGAACACAGAGACTTTCCCACAGGTTTCAAATCCAGCCTAGTGTAGATCTGATCAGTCTGAAACATTAGCATAATTTCAAATCATCAGATCTCACTGACAAGTAGGATCCCAGCCATCCAACTTCACAACACTTTAAGGTCCCTGCCCTAAGCACACGGTCAGAGGATAAACAGCTGTTATGATGACTGAAGCTGGTTCACAAGCTGCGGGTCAGATCACCCAGACTGCTGGTTATGAGGTGTAAATAGTCCTCTGAGATCAGATCAGACCGTTTAAAGAAGTGTGATTGCAAGACTTTAATACACAGACTAATGAAACAAATTCAGAACTGTTTATATCTGCTGGACGGGACCCATGGAGCACCCCAACACTCTTCTCATCTCCCTCATTCAGAGTTTAATGTGCTCTCACAGCACCATTACAGATCAGGGTACACCACAGTTTATGGACCGATTTGAGGCCAGAGCAGAAAGGGGAGGTTTCTGAGCGGAGAGAGGGAGAAAACAAGAGAGGAAGAGAGAGAGAGACAGAGAGGGGTTAGGATGCTTAGAGTGATGATGGCGGCTCATAGACTCAGGACAAGAGGAGACAAGAGCAACCGCATTAAGAGTTAAGAGCCATCCAAACACACACACACACACACACACACACACACACACACACACCAGACATACTGCAGCTGTAAACACACATCCACACGCTGAGGTTTATAAACACAAACATGTTTTATGATTGTAAACAACCAACAATTTTAACTGATTTCTGATCCCTCAAACACCAAAACCTCAACCCACCTCGCCCAAACCTCACCCTGTAGACCAGAAGGAGACAGGAGAGGACAAGAGGAGACACAGTGGACCTCTTAAGAGTCTCAAACCCCTGACTCTGGACTGAGTCTTCATCTGAAACACAAACAGCAGCACAGCTCAGAATCAGAACGGGGTTTAAAAAGGTTAGGTCCAGTCCATGATCCCTGAACTCTTCTGAGACACAGAGGGAGGAGGGAGGAGTCGGTGAGTTGAATCAATGTTAGAGTGATATATTATTATTATTACTCTTTGAATGACCTTTATCTATCAGGGTGCAGTACACCAAGATGTCCTCTACTGGCTGTCAGCCTCACTACACGGACTCTGTTTGTCTGCAGGAAGCTCATTACTGTAAGAGGAAACTCAACAACCAATCAGACTGATCCATTAAAGTTACTGCGTCCTCCTAAACAAACTTTAATGGAGAATTATCTTTTTACTGTCAACCATTAGAGAGCGGAAACAGAGAGCAGAGTCAGCAGCTCTCAGAGACATACAGGCTACATGAAGACAAATAATGATGGACAGAGAGGAACATTCAGAGACAGTGAGACTGACAGAGAGCTGAGAGGAGACAAAGCTGTCAAAGGGTGCTGAGGTTCCTGTAACTTGTGGATGTGAATGTTTTCTAATCCAATTCCAGGTTAAATCCATTCACATTTAGTTTGTGAATGGACAATCACATGTGAGACATCAAGAAAAAGTTTTAGAAAAGTAGGAACCTATTCAAACCTGGTTAGGACATTGGTGGGTACTTTTCTCTTTCAAGCAGAGACAAAGTTTGAAGAAACTACTGACAGAGATCTGGGTGAAGATTTTTATAAACTTTATAAATAGGTAAAAAAAATTAGACCGGTCTGACCCTGCGGCAATTTGCCTTCTCGGGTTCCTCCACCCTCCAGACTCCACCTAAAGAAATAACTGAAGACAAACCAAAGCTCTCTGACAAAAAAACTCTACTTCAGCAAACCAGGTGAAAGTTAGGTCTTAAGATGCGTGCATGCGTGTGTGCGTGTGTGATTTGGCAGAGATCCCTCTGTCTCCCACTTTGGAGAACTAGAGGTTCTTCAGGAACAATAGTCTCTCAGAGCTTATTTTTAGTGACGGAGGAACATGTTGAGGGGATGACCACTGAAGGGTTCGCACAGGGTGGAGGTTTGATGGCTGTTCCAGGAGACTGCATGTTGTGTGTGTGTGTGTGTGTGTGTGTGTGTGTGTGTGTGTGTGTGTGTGTGTGTGTGTGTGTGTGTGTGTGTGTGTGTGTGTGTGTGTCCCAGCATCCTCTTCCTCCTCCTCTTCCCTGACGTCCGACAGCTTCCTTTTCATGTCTCCTCAGTTTTTCCTGGAAAAACTTGTAATGTGTCATGATGAGTGAGCAATAGCTAAACATAAAACTCCCACTACACTCTCTCTCTCTCTCTCTTTATGCGTGTGTGTGTGTGTGTGTGTGTGTGTGTGTGTGTGTGTGTGTGTGTGTGTATGTGTGTGCAAGTCTGGGACACTGAGGTGTCACTTTAGTCATTAAAAAACTAATCTTTGTTGCCTTTTGGTTTTGACCAATCAGAAATGAGTATTTAGCACAGCTGGTGATAAATATCTTTTGTTCGGTTCACTCCAACATCTATGGTGGCTGATAAGGTTCAGAGCTTTCATCTTCTGCTGAAGCTTTTTTGTCTTTGCATCATTTGGTTGTTTTCAGCTTGTTTGTTTTTCACACAACTGTTCTGTTTTTTGTCTTTTT